CACACCCGTCCACCATAGCCGACCACCTCCAACCCTTCTTCTTCCTCCATCACCCACACCCGTCCACCATAGCCGACCACCTCCAAACCCTCTTCCTCCTTCATGACCCACACCCGTCCACCATAGCCGACCGCCCTCAACCCTCCTTCCTCCTTCATCACCTACGCCCGTCCACCCGAAAGTCTTAGGGGGAGAGAGTCGCAAGGGGGACGCACGGGACCTCGGGTAGGATCGGATAGGGTAAGTCAATGAGCAAAGTCGATTAGGATGTGAAGCTTCTTGTTCTCTCTCTCTCTCTCTCTCTCTCGCTCTCTCGCTCTCTCTCTCTCTCTCGCTCTCTCTCTCTCTCTCTCTCTCTCTCTCTCTCTCTCTCTCTCTCTTTCTCCTCTCCCTCTCCCTCCGTCTTCCTCCATTCCTCCAAAAACTATTAACCCTTGACCGTTCCGTCACCCCTTCCAACTCCATGGCATGTGACTAACCTCTACCCTCACCTGTTACATTGTCAGGGAACGAACGGAAAGGAACTTGGTCCTCACTTGGTGGAAAGCGAGGGCAAGGGAAGGGTTGCCGGTCCCTTGTGCCACCAAGAAGGAAAGGATACGAGGCTATTGAGACCATTTGTGAAAGAAAAAGGAGTGTTGTTTTTGAAAGAGGTCAGTTTGAATCAACCATCCTCCCGGAATGCATGACTGAGGCGATCGCATGCTTGCCTGTGTGAAAGGGGAGGGAACTCATAAGGGGAAATGGAAGGCAAAGACAACTTAGGAGTGCGGGAAGGGGACGATGTGTTGACCCCAATGGGGATTGTACTTGGTCATTTGTCTTGTGTGGTCTTGCGCAGGTGAGTAGCTAGGGACGGTTTGGACGGGGCTGGACCCGTGGATGAGGACTAGGGTGGGAGATTGGCTAAGGAAAGGACTTGGATCCGGCTTAAGCCATGGACACGGGATGAGTTGAGACCGGGCGCTTGGGTGGATGGATGATGCATGGACTTGGTTTGTGTGGAGGTTGCATGAAATGTCTCTCTCATGTGTAATGCGACCCCTGAAAAGACTAAGGGCGGTCTTGGATAGCCGATGCGATGCTAGTGGCTATCGCAAAAAAACTATAGCGGTTAGGGGTCCGGGCGAGGCCGCCCTACCCCAAGGATGCTGCCGGGGCTGTCCCGAGCCACTAGACCTAGTGAAAAGGTGTGTGGCCCAATGGATGACACTTGGCCTGCGCACGGTAAGAAGACAAACTCTCAACGAACTCCCTGGACTGCCTGAGTATTGGAAAGAGCAATTGCCTGGTCAGACTTAAATGAATCAAGAAGACGCCGCGAGTGACCAAAGAGCTACCATCTTGACGCTAGAGCAAAGCTACATCCCACAATGTAAAGCCCTCTCGCACAAGGCCCATCCCCATCCATCTCATAGCACTAGGTGGGGTTGCCCCTGGGACGAACGACCCGCACCCTGAGCGTGAGCGTGGGTGGGTCGAGCCAAATGGGACCCGCAGTGGGGTCGACTGAGGCTCGAAAAGTCCATCAGGGTAAGGCCCCTACACCGGCCCCAGATGTCTGGCTATGGTTGTCCTCTGACGAGGGATTCAGGATGCCGACTGCAGTCAATCGTCACCTTCCTTCCTTCGTCGGCTTAGCTCACGCCTCCTGGCAAAACAAAACCCGAAAGTCAAAATGGAAAAACCTTCAGCAGACTGACTCCATCCTATTAATAGTTCAGCCTAGACCTAGACTCGGACTGGACCAACTGGTACCGTTTCAGTTTCGGCCTCTAGGGTCTCTCCCTACCCGGCTATAGGCTATAGGACCCGTCTATCAGCGTAGGCCCGTAGGCCTGTCTGTTCTAGTGGTAGCCTGGGTCTGCTATTTGCAGTTAGGGTGACTGGAGGAAATTTGGATTAGTGCGGGCCTGAAATTCTGCAAATTTGCAATTATGTCCCTCACGAGTTTCCTTCCCTGGCGGATGTCACTGTTAACCCTTAGTGAAAACAAAATTACAAATCGGTTCTTAAATTGTATTGTACAACGTCGCAGACAAACGCAGCAGCCAAATCAGCAAGTCATTACAGACTTACCCCCCCGGGGAGCAAGGACCTCCGAGCTAAGGGTGTAATCGAGGAGGTCGCCGAGGAAGTGATCCCTTTTGAGCCGCCGCATACTTTAAAATTACCGACTTTGCTGTCTTGAGAAGTTCCTTCCGCGGAAACCAGCGGTCCTTAGAATGAGGCTGAAAGGATCGAGGTCTGTGCCCCACTCATCTTCAATTGACTCTACCTCATACCCGCGACCAGGTATAGGTGGTCCAAATTGAGGGGGCCGGTCAGGGTATGCATCAGGTGGTGTGAAAGGTAACAACTTGGATGTATGAAAGCTCGGATAGGTCTGCAGATGCAGCGGGACATCAATGACATACAACGGGCCAAAAGGATCAAAGCCTACTGTATCTAGCACCTGCCACCGACCCAAGTAACTTGGCAAAAACTTTGGAGGGATATTGAACTGGCAACCTAGACATGCTCGCCGATACAGATGGGGGAAGGACGCCGGTGCCGATTAGCTTGTTCAATCATTGCCTTTTGGGCTTTGAACAAGTTGGCACGTGCCCTTTCCACTTCTACTCTGTACTGCCGGGCAAACTCAGCAGTCCCAGGAGGCACGTGTCCTTTCCACGTCTACAATGTTTTGTCGGGCGAACTCGGCAGTCCCAGGAGTCGGGTCAGACCAAGCCTTGTTGATGAGATCGTCAAGAGGTTGTCATGGTTCACGGCCCCAATGCAGCCGGTAAGGGGTGAACCCAGTTGACGAGTAGACCGAGGTGTTATACACAAGCTGTGCACGAGACAAGTGGAGATCCCAGTGGTGTTGATCTGGTGAGATGACATGACGCAATAGTTGGAATAGAATCTGGTTCATCACTTCAGCCTGTCCATTAGCTTCAGGATGACGACCAAAAGTCATGTCCAGACGTGAATGCAAATAATCTTTGCAGTGGGATTGCCACTCACTGCTACAAATTCGAGGATCTCTATCGTTGACTATGGAAGTGGGCGGTCCATGGTGAGTTACCCACCTCTCAGCAAATGCTGCCCTCACGGTGGGAACCCTAGCCTCTTTTGGCAATGGGATGAACTCTGCGTACTTGAAAAACCTGTCAACACATACCATTACCTGACACATGCCACGGGGGGTGGTTCTGCCCAAGTCTGTGAAGTCAATAGACACAAATTCAGCAGGACCCCCAGGTATGGGTAGGGGTGTGAGCAAGCTAAGAGGAGGTCGTTGTTGAACCTTGTTCCTCTAACATAGTTCGCAGGTTTTGATATAGCGCAGCAGATCATTCCACATCTCCTTCCCGAAAAAGCGTTGCGACACGGCTGCATAGGACTTTAGGAACCCAAAGTGACCATGTGCATCCTGACACTTTGACATTAGCAGTGTTCTGAGCGGCTGGTCCTGAGGGATGCACAAGCGTTCCTCCCATTGGTGTAGGTGTACAACAAGCCTGAACTTAGGGCATAACGTGGTTCAAAATTTGGATCTGCTTGCGGATTCCCACAATGGGCCCATAAGTCGGGTCCTGAGGCAAAAGTTGGGCAATGGTCTGGCGGGTTTCCTCTCCAAAGGAGTGAGTAGAAGAGATAGTTGCAAAAGTGTCAGACCTACGAGAGAGGGCATCTGCTACTTTGTTGTAGCAACCCTTCTTGTGTTTTAGTTCAAAGTTGAAGAGATCGATGAACTGAATATAGCGTGCCAGCTTGTCATTCAGTTCTCCCTGGTATTCATTCACCACAGGGTGGAGTGATCTGAAAAGATCCTGAAGTATCAACCCAGGAGGAAATGTTTCTAATTCTTGAGCGAGCACACAAGAGCGTATAGCTATTTCTCGTAGGTGGAATCCTGCAACTTTTGGGTCTTGATCTTCTTGCTCATATACTCTGTAGGCCTAGACCAGTCCCATCATCTTGCTGAAGTACGACCCCAATGCCATATTGACTAGCATCAATAGTCAAAAGGAACGATAGAGTGGGGTAAAAAAGATTCAATACAGGAGCACGAGTCAAGGCCTTTTTGATTCGTGTAAATGCCAATTGATAGTGATTGGACCAAAGGAAAGGAGTGTCTTTCTTTGTCAGGTTAGTCAAGGGTGCAGCTATTGCAAAAAAGTTTATGACGAACTTTCTTTAGTAGGATGCTAAGCCCATGAAGGACCGTACATCCCTAACTGTTTGAGGTCAAGTGAATAGCAACAATCTTTGCTGCTTCAAGGGCCAAACCATCTCCATAAATTACATGACCCAGATAGATGACAGAGGGAACTCCAAAGGATGATTGTTTTGCTGAACACCAGGGTATCATCCAGGTAGACAACCATAAACTTGTCCAGGTAAGGCCTGAAGATGCGGTGCATCTCTGTCTGGAAGGTGTCAGGTGTGTTGCAAGGTCCAAATGGCATCACCAGGTACTCAATAAGTACATACCTGGTTTTGAAGGCTGTGTTATGGACATGCTCCTCTGCCATCTCAATCTGGTGATACCCAGATTTGAGATCGACTTTGCTGAATAGGGTACAACCCTGCACCATATCCAACAAATCATCAATACGAGGGAGAGGCTTTGTACTCTTTTTCGTGATCTTGTTGAGACCTTTGTAATCCACACACATTTTGAATTCGCCATTCCCTTGGGGAACAAAGAGAACACGTGCACCGAATTCAGAAGTGTTGCGTCGGATTCAACCCTTGCTGGTCAGGGTCTCAAGCTGCTTTCTGAGCTCATCAAGCTCAGCAGGGGACATCCTGGAGATCCGGTCGTTTGGAGGGGTCGATCCAGGCAATAGCTCGATGTGATGCTTGGTAGGCATATGGGGTAAACCCAAAGGTTCCTGCGACAAATCTGCATAGTTGTTCACAACCTGCCGAACCTCTGAGGGACAGGAAGCAGAAACTGCATTTGTTTGTTTGACCAAGGGCAAAACAGGTGCTCATGGTGTACTTGCGTGAGGGAGGATGAAAGTTTGTTGCTTTTAGACAGTAGCAACTAGTTTTGGGATGGTGTTGAACAGCCAACATGCATTGCTGATACACCCCCTGCTGATTGGGCAGCTCAACCTTAGGGATCTTCCAGTCAATCCTAGGGTTGGTTGCCTGCAGCCACTGTATGGAAAAGACGAGATCAAAGTGTAGATCAGGGAATATGTAGAATTTCAGACTGTCTAACTTCTCCACGAGTGTCGAAGGTCACAGGAATTCCACTGACCTTTCCCTGATTGTGACCGTGGAGGAATCTCCAGTATGGACCTTTAAAGGTTTCTCCAACTTCACTATCTTTAAGTTCAGATTAAATTTTTGCACTGCCCTGGGAGTCATGAAGTTCCGAGTAGCCCCACAGTCGAATAGACCCTTGATCCTGGTCTGGTTGATCAGGGGCTGAAGCAGGATGAGTTCAGATTTGGTTTTCCTCTTCTCCTTCAGCTAAAGGAAGAGGGAAGCAAACATTTGAGTCTCATGCTCCTCCAATTCCTGATTGGGGTCACCATCCTCATATACAAAGGATGCTATCCCTACAACTCCTAATTCCGGTGACCTATCTACTAAAGCAACTACAAGTTCACCTTTGTCTGAAGATGAAATTGCAGAACTGGGGGGAGTTGCTGCCTCTAGAGACTGCTTTAGTTTTTTGGTCGCTGTGAACCAGGGCCTGGCATGTAAGGGCAATTTTTCATAAAATGGTCGCCCTCACATCTCAGGCAGACCCTCTTATCCTTCCTCCTCCTCCAAACCCCTTCCTGGATCCTGAGGTCTTGCCAGCGCAGGGTGGAAGGATTAAGTGGGTCAGGTGGCATTTGGATGTCTCGTGGCAGGTTAGGTCTCTGGGAAGGTGTAGAAGGAGGGCGCCCCTTATCCTTCCCCTTCTTGCTACTGGTTGATGTATTGGTGGCAGGGAACTTACCCTTAAGCACACCCAACAGTGCATCAGCCAGGGCCGTAGCAGTGTCTGCAGCAGGAGGTGAGGTAGTCCTAGCACGTGGGCTAGATTGTTGGGAATCTGCATCACTTTTTGATCCAGATCCCACATGAACAAAAGCAACCTTTCCCTTTTTACTGCCCTTGGGAAAGACCCTCCTTCTATCTAAAGAAGGGGCTTGGACATGGAGCATATCCAAGGCTGCTCGGCCAAAGGACCTTCAATCCTTAAACCCAAAGCTATAAAGCGCCGCAGCGAACTTCTCAGGCGCTGCCCTACAAAAATTTGTCAGCAGATCATCATCAGCCATGCCCAGTCCTGGGGTGGAGGTGAGCTGCTCAAACTCAGCAAACAAACTCTGGAGTGACCTTAAATAGCGCTGCTGACCTAGGCGAGCAATCCGGTCAGCGGCCTTGCGAGCCGGCTCCTTGTCTGCAAATCTTTCCTCCATGGCCTGCAGAAGTTCGGCCACACCCAGCTCGAAAGCTCAACCTTCCAACAACCTGTTCTGGCTGTTGGAGGAGGACGTGGCCCATTTCAGAGTCGGCCCATCCAACGATCCCAGAATAGTAGAGACCTTTGTCTCCTCAGCACAGGTGAAGCCTCTCAGGTAGGCTCTTGCGTCAACGACCCAGTCCCCAACATCCACTTTGGGATTATCTCCTATGAACTTGTTGGGGGCTGGGATCTTAGGAAAGATCCGCTGGTCACCGGCTGAGTCGGGGTCTTGGAGACTGTGGGCTTGGGAGATGGATGTGGTGATGGATGTGGTGATGGAGAATAGGTAGATCGAGAAGGGGAGTTATGAGGAGAAACATGTCTGGATGGAAGGGGAGTAGTCAGGCCAGCACGTGGAAGCTGAGCAAAAATCTGATCCATCTTAGAGAGGATCTGAGCTTGCTGAGCTTCCTTTCTCTTGAGGCGATCTTCCATTCGCCCCATATTTTCATCCCGGTTAGTGAAATTAGTGGTGGTTGCTTTGTGGTCCAAATGGATCCACTCAACAATGCACTTATTCATTTATGAGGTACGTCCATCAACCTCATGCCCGACCATCTGCTCCAACATATACGTTCTCCTGAACACATCCACTGCAACTTTCTATTCTTCCTGTTCCTGTTTTTCCAAGGCTGCAATCAGCTCTTGCTACTGACACAATTCTTCTTTCTCCTCCGTCATTCTCTGCTGAATCTCAGCCAAGGTTGCAGAAGGGCCAGAGGGCTGAGAAGAGTCACCCTCTTCCTTCTTTGGTTTTGCAACCTTGGGCTGAGGTTGAGCAACCTTGTCAACCATTTCTCTAGTCAGTTCGACAATAAGAGAGGCAATACCAAAGGAGTCAGTAGCGATTATCTGTTTCCCTGCCGTACTACAAAAATTGCTACCACCTCCGTCACAGTGTTAGTGTAGGTGAATGGGCAACAAGCGGTAGGGGTTAGAAGCCTTCTCTGGAGGCCAGGCGTCAGTTAGACCCCATCCAACAAAATCAATCACTCGATTTCCTTTTCACTAACCCTGGACCATTCTAGAGTTAGTACAATCAATTTCAGGTGTCCCAGAAAGATCACTAGAATTTCAGTGCCCACAGTAGTACAACGTCAGTCAGTAAGAGAGATAGGATAGCAGAATGCAGATTATCACCGACCAATAAGATTTAGCGGATTACTAAATTTGCTCACTTTGTGACTCGGACTCAATTTCTGACACTGATGACTCGCTCGGCTATACCTTGGGGTTTGGCGATTTACAATTTTCACTGTAAGGACTCAAATACTTGAATTCGAGACTGGCGATTTTCACTCAGAGGTGAATAACAGGATTGCGCTTCACAAATAAATGACAAAGGGAAATTCTAACGAACAAAATTATAATTATGACTGACCCTAGCTAGTATAGACTGGAAGCTCAACACAAAATTATAATCTACAGTATCACTACTTTTCTAGTACAAAATTCACAAGTTGAATAGAGTGTCAAGTGCAATGCTGTCAGGCAGTCCCAGGCAAAATTTGAGGAGAAAAGAGTCAACATACATTAAGTTATGAGAAACTGAGAAGAAGATGGCTATGGCTGTCATGAAGTCTGACAATCTATTTTTAGACCTACATTAATAGATAGTCCATCAATTCCAACTCTGACAATCCGTACTAATTCGCCACACAGAGGTCTGCACAGAACATACTCACTTCAAAGGAATGTTGTAGAAGGTGGTGTAAATAGGGCTATGGCAGACTGTCTGCACCACTTCTTGCCACTTTCTTTCAGAAATTGTTCATTTGAACTCCACGTGCAGAATCTCCTGAAACCTGTTGATCCCGAAGAGGAGACTGAGGCGCTTCACCACAGGGTGTCAGATTCCGTGAATCTCACCAGGCGGCACTCTGTCAGTAAGACAAAGGTAGAGCGCCACTGACACCTTGATTCGCACTGTAGGCCAATCAATTCCGGCGCAATCCACTGATGCTCCCGCCACTCAGTGCTTCACCACCCTCTGACAAATTTCACCACTCAGAGCCAAATTGCGATTATGCAACCCCTTCAGGGTCTCGCGAAATCCACTCCACTTGCCTTTCCTGAATCAGGCGCTCTCCGGAAATAGTAACGTCAGATCAATCCGATACTGAGCCACTGTAATAGCCGCTTGGCAATCTTCTTCTCACCCGATTCAACATTGAAGAAGATGAATCCCCATGAAACTTTTCTCCAGAATCTCTTCAGAAGAAGAAGAAGATGCCCCGATTGCACTCAACACCCAATTAGTCCGTTATGATCCAAGCTCCGATACCAACTGTTATGAATTTGGTTGTTTGTCGCACTCATAGGCGATCTCATACATGCCCATACATGCATAAGAAGAAGGGGAGAGGAGACATAGTCACACACTGCACACAGACAGAGTATGCCGCGGAAAGCAAATATGTACAGAGTGTGGAGACAACGCACAATGTTTCTCTCTTTGACGATGCTCCCAACGACCGATCATAAGAAGACACCATGAGGATCACAACAGAACGTCACAGAGTTTGACGAGGGACTCAGGATGCCGCTTGCAGTCAATCTTCACCTTCCTTCCTTCATCGGCTCTGCTCACGCCTCCGGGCAAAACAAAACCCAAATGTCAAAATGGAAAAGCCTCCACCAGACTGACTCCGTCCTATTAATAGTTCTAGCCTAGACGTAGACTCAGACTGTACCAACCGGTACAGTTGCAGTTTCGGCCTCTAGTGTCTCTCCCTATACGACTATAGGCTATAGGACCACGTCTATCAGCGTAGGCTCGTAGGCCTGTCTGTTCTGGTGGTAGCCCGGGTCTGCTATTTGCAGTTAGGGTGACTATAGGAAATCTGGATTAGTGCGGGCCTGAAATTATGCAAATTTGCAATTATGTCCCTCACGAATTTCCTCCCCTGGTGGATGTCACGGTTAGCCCTTAGTGAAAACAAAATTACGAATCGGTCCCTAAACTG